CGGGAACGCTCCAGGCCGAAGCGGGTGGTGCACACCGGGAGTATCCTGCGGAGCCGCTGGTACCGGCCCGAAGCGGTGTGACCTAATTGCTCCTTCCAGTTGCTGTAGGGGCTGACAAGAAGGAGGGAACCTATTGACAAGGGCCTGGAGTGACAGGACGAAGGGGAATGGCTTCAATCTGACAGAGGGTAGGGTTAGATGCGATACTGGGGAGAAATTCATCCCTGTAAGGTGGTGAGGCACTGGCTCAGGTTGCCCAGAGCAGCTGTGGCTGCCCCATCCCTGGAAGTGTCCAAGGCCAGGCTGGATGGGGCTTGGAGCAACCTGGTCTATGGAAGGTGTCCCTGCCCATGGCAGGGGCTGAATGAGGTGAACTTCCAGGTCTCTTCCAGCGTTATCATGTTGTGATATCACCGTGACAGCAGGGTCATCACGGTCTGCCTTTCCTTGCAGGCACCTCAAGGAAGGAACCATGCCCAGGATCACTCTGAACGGGATCACAGTGGATTTCCCCTTCCAGCCCTACCCATGCCAGGAAGCCTACATGGCCAAGGTGCTGGAATGTCTGCAAAAGGTGTGTGAGTGTCCAGCTGTGTGTAATTTCTAACTGTAGAAAATTATTTCTTTAAGAAGAGGTTGTCACAATTCAGGTTTTCTTTATGTGCTTTGTATGCTGCCTTTCCAAATCTTCTCTGAGCTTTTACTTGTATTTTTATTTTACTCTGTGGTAATTAAAATTGTAGCTGGCAGGTGACAGTCAGTAGAAATATGGACAGGATGTTCCTGCTTAAATTGGGAAAAGGAAGAAAGGCTGAGAAAATAGTGCTTGTATTCATGCAGTTTGTCCTTGGCTGGCTGGGTCTGATGACAGAATCATGAGTGGTTTGGGTTGGAAGGGACATTAAAGCTCATCTTGTTCCACTCCCTCCCATGGGCAGGGACACCTTCCACTATCCCAGGTTGCTCCATACCCTGTCCAACCTGGCCTTGAACACTTCCAAGGATGGAGCAGCCACAGCTTCTCTGGGCACTCTGTGCCAGGGCCTCACCATCCTCACAGGGAAGAATTTCTTTCTAATTTACAATGTAAAGCAACTCTTTGGCAGTAGGAGTCGATTCTTCCTTATTTTGTTACTACAGGTCCTTGTGAAGAGTTCCTTTCCGTGTTTCTTGTAGCCCCCTTCAGAAACTGGAAGGCCCCAGTTAGGTCACCTTGGAGTCTTCTGCTCTCCAGGCTGAACAATTCAAATTGTCTCAGCCTTTCCTCATAGGAGGAATTTGGTCTTGTCTTGTTAATATTTGGACTAATTGTATAATATTCTATTTGCTGTGCGAGAGAATAATTTTGCTGAATTAATGTCAAAATAATAAAATTTTTTTTTCACAGTAGTTATCTTTTTTTTCTGGACACATTTTCATGCTCCCTATTCTCCTGAGGGATCAAACAAGCTTATTGTGGAAACTTTGGCTTTCCACCTGGCTCTACATTGCTCTGTATCACAATATCTGCTTGGTGCCTCCTCTCATTGAACTCAAAGTGTTGTAAGCTTATGACATAAATTCCTTTCATACTTGAGCTCAGTTGCTCCGTTTTTTCAGTTTTTAGTATTGCCACACACTTAAAAATCATAATATCCCATAGGTGTTCCAAGTGCTGACAATGTTCTCTGCCTGCAGTGACATGGGATAAAACATTAATCCTAAAGGAAACCAGCATTCTGTTATCTGGGAGCCACTTTCTGGGCTGGTTTTTCAATAACTTCTCACATTTCTGTGTATTTTATGCTGCAATGGGACACACTCCAATTGCTCTAAGAGTGGAGAATTGAATTCTTGTTCTAAATAAATGTGATGGCAGGCTCTGGGTTTTTGATTGAGCCTCATTAAGTTAATTGGAGAGTCCTAAAGGTTGCTTAGACCTCGTGTGTGGGTGGGTGTCCCTTAGTGAGGCTGCCAGCTGGTGTTCGCTTCTTGGCAGAAGACGTTCACTACTGCACCAAGACCTGTCCTACTGAACCCCTAAATCCCTCTTTTATTTCTCTCCAACAAAGAAGGTAAATGGCATTTTGGAGAGCCCCACAGGCACAGGGAAGACCCTTTGCCTGCTGTGTTCCACGCTGGCCTGGCGGGAGCACTTCAAGGACACCATCTCAGCCCGGAAAATCGCGCAGCGCATGAATGGGGTGGAGCTCTTTCCTGACAGACCTGTGTCCTCCTGGGGCACTGCTGCCACGGATGGAGATGTCCCAAGTGAGTACCACCTCCCCTGCACTCAGGGATGTTAGTCAACACGTGCTTTTATCTATCTTTTATAATAAATATATAGTTGTAAAAGTTACAGAGCTATTGCTGAGCTGCTGAAGCACAGTTTCACCATTTTATACATTTTCAAGATGTTCTACGTAGTTTGAATTTTTCTTGGAGCTCATTGAGTTCTTTAGTTTCTTAGAAACTCGTTTAGCTCGTTTTAGGTATGTGAATAGTTAGATGACAGCATTTCCTGCTGTCTCTGCAAGGCAAACTGTTACCATAGTACCAGCTGAGGAAGGAGGCTAAGAATATCTCTAGTTCTCCTTTCTATGCTTATAATGTCTTTCTGGTTTTTTTCTCTTCTATTTGGCAGCTTATTACACTGACATTCCAAAAATAATTTATGCCTCCAGGACTCACTCTCAGCTTACACAAGTCATTAATGAGCTAAAGAACACAGTGTACAAGTGAGTATGATTTAGGGTAGTGTCCTTATTCAAAGAAAAGGTAGAGAATCCCCTCTGGTGTAGTTACTGTTTGAACTTCTGTAGATGAATGCATAAAAGATGATATCCAGAGAAGTGTAGTTCCTTTAATGTGCATGTTTAGAACCTGGTTTTCTTTGTTGATGGGTTTGGTTTATTTTAGTACTTCACAGGTTCTCTTCTCTTCTTCAGTCATAGAATTTTCTGAATTTAGTCTGGTTTTGGTTTTTTACTTGACACATTAACTTATAAAATTACCTTTTTAAATTTTCCCTATTTATATTTTTCTGGGGGCATTTTTATGGCAGTAGGAAGCCATTACCAAGAGGAACTCCTCAGGCTGATGTAAATCTATAAGGAACTTTGTGGTTTTGTTATACCAGTGCCTGTCACAGGTTTCAGCTGAGCTCTTTGGACAGGAATAGTCATTTGTTTATGTAGTTATTGAAAAGATACGACCTTGGAATAAGCAAGAAACCCTAAACCATGGTGAATGTTTGTAGTGAATCAGTTCTGTCTTAACCTTGCTCTGACCATCACAACCAGCTGGGCAAAGCTTGTAGTGGATGACAGGCCCCAGCTGCCTGGGCTGAGCTATCATAACAGAACCCAGGTTTTGTGGTGGATGGTGTAAATTGCTGCTTGTGACTTCTTGCTGTGAGCTGCTGCTGCTTATTAGCACCCACTGCTGCCAGCAGAGATGCAGTGCCTCAATGTCCAATAACACCCAGCAGTTACAGACAGGTTCATTGACTTGTTCTGGCTCTGACCCTTGTTTTGGGTTCATCTGTTTCTCCCCAATCTTTCACTTTTGATATATTGAACCTAAGCATGTAAAACTCTATTCTTTCTTGCCTTATTTTTAATGTGAGTTTTGTGTATCCAGGCCAAAGATTTGTGTGCTGGGATCCAGAGAGCAGCTCTGCATCAATCCTGAAGTGAAGCGACAGGAGGGGAACCACATGCAGGTGAGATCAGAGGCTGGAGAGGATGTTCAGGGAGAACATGGAGACTTTTGTGTCATTTCTGTGTCATTCTTCACTCTGGCATTGTTGAACTACAAGAGGCTGCAGGGAAACAAGTAGTTGTAAATGTGTTTTTAGGAATGTTTAGTTTCTAGTTTTGTGAGTGCAAAATGTAATTCTGAGTCTTCGGTGATATTCTATCTAGAGAATTATGTTACTATGTAGAACATGACAGCTAATAATTTGTAGTTTACTTTCTGATCTGCTATTTGTGTGTTTGACAAGAGCAATAATTTCAAAATATTGCTACAGTTATTGAGTTAGCTGTTAGTTTTACAATATCAAAGATTACTGTTTTGAAAAGTATTAATGGTGAAGTACAATGTATTTTTCTCTGAGCATGTGAGTGTTGTGTGCTGCAAAAAAAGAGCCTGACTTGCAAGGTGAGCAGGATATGTGATTTTAAATCTGAAGGGCTGTGATTGGCATTTGTTCATTAGCTGGTGTTGGAACTGATTTCACTCCTTAAGCTGCTTTCAGTGCCTGACAGGCTGTGCTGTTCTGGGCTGAAACAGGCTTTG